CCGGAGGTCTTCAGCCACTCAACATCCCATTTTGGCGCCAGCTTCTGTACCAGACATGGTTTACTGGAAAAGAGTTAAAGCTTTGACTATCAAGGCGCCTAAGTGTTACTGACACGATCTGCACGCAAACCCATGCACAAGACTCCAACCCGGTTGACTACTAGGGGTCCAAGGGCCCTTCCCTTGTCTGGTAAACGGCGACAGCGGAGGGCCTCAAGCCGCCCTCGCAACGGGACGTCCATCCCCGGGCCCAGCAGAGGCTACTCCCCGCCAGACCCAGGGGCCGCCCGAGCGAATGCACTTGAGCCAAAATGGCTACGGTAACACTCTCTTTCTTTCTTTCGCGCGGGCTATGGGATGGCTGCGCAGCCATCCCGGGCTCCTGCCCAGCCCGCTTTGGGCCTGTTTGAACTACACCCCTCTAAACTCCACTCAGCCACAACATCTACTGTTGAAGGAAAATCAAAATTAAAGACTCTCCCTCTCTCTCTCTCTCTCTTCCTCTGCTCGCCGCAAGAGCACCAGAACGCACTTGTTGGGGTTACACTCCATGGCCGAGCACAGTTCCAGGTTGGTTTGCTATCCAAAGAGGCCCGGAATACCTAACAAAAGGTCGCCGCCTCCACTCCCCTAAATCACATAGGCAGTCTCAAGTATTCCGGATTTGGAAACAACCGCCTTTTGATTCTCCTCCCTACTTGACATGTTTGTGAAACTTGCCATGTTGGGTGCTCCCACCGAGTGCATAGTATTGCCCCTTGTACGCCATGGTTACTACCCGTTCCCACACCTCATGGTACTTGTACCAAGCCTCTCCATCAGCCTTTCTTTCTTCTTCTTCCACAGGCTACGCATGCCCTTGCGAGCCCGCTGGGGCAAGGCCCCAAGCCTAGCAAACGTCCGATAAGTCATGGTCGGCAGCAGTGTCGAGGAAGGGTTAACATTTGACTGCCCCCACCCCCCCGGTTTTCTTCTCCCAACCCTGTATCCGGCCAGTGAATTGTTCTCACATCTCAAACATGTTCTTGTGGGAAATTGAAACTCATTCGTCTGGAGAAGATCCAAAAAATCTCCCTGCAGACAAAACATACCGCACAACGTGCACTGCGCAAGCCAAGTGCAACGGCACTTTCTGATGCGGTGGGAGGTCGCCAATATCGGCGAGGGGTCTTCTGACGCCCCAAATCCCTGGGCCGGAGGGGCGCATCTGCAGCCGGCCCGGGTTGGGCGTTGAGACCCAGCCATGTCCAGAATGAACGCCCTCAGGGCGAATGAGAAGTCTGAACAATGAACAAAACCGCCTGGGTTGGGCGGGTGGGACAAAATGGCGGTTTGAACACTCGCACTGCGGTGGGCGCCCGAATGCTACATGTTCCAACGCACACACGTGTGCACACCGCAACGTGCACTGCAGAAGCCAAATCCAACCGCACTTTTTGATGCGGTTTTTTCTGACGCCGGCCGGGCGCATCTGCACCCCGTCCGGCGCCCCTTCCCCGCATCGCGCCGGCAAGTCAGAAGCCGCCCGGCCGATGTTGTCCGCCGCTCACGAAAGGATCTCCAACACAGAGTCGAGGTTGATGTCAGCTTGTATCTAGCCATGCCGCACCGCCAGGGTGCAGTGTCGGTGCGCCCTGCGCGCATGCCCATCGCAATGCGCCAGGAAGACTGCGTCCGCGCCCTGGGCCCTGACCTTGGACACGTACCAGTTGCAGTACGCGTGCACCTCCTTTTCCGCCCTGAACTTGAGCAGAATCCACGCCCAGCGGGCTGCCTCGGCGCCATCGACGACGGCGAGCATGGATTCACGCCTGTTCAGCTTTCTGAAGGCCAGCCTGCAGGCATTGTCGCCCTGTGCCGCCAAACGGCGGAGGGCGGCAGCAGCCGGAGATGCAGCATCCGAAGCCGTCATAGCTCAGGCGGCGGAAACTACAAACAAAGGGCACAAAATGGCGGTTTGAGCACTCGAGCTGCGGCGCGCGCCCGAGTGCTACATGTTCCAACGCACACACGTGCGCTATCACACAATGGCATGAGCGATCACCTAGTTACGGACTCATTCTACAAGCTCTGTCTCCCACTGCGCATAGTCCAAAAACCGCTCTCTTGTTCAACGCCGGTCCTGAAACTGGCCAGTTGGAGAACATTGCAACTGCTACTCCGGGCTGTTCCTGTACCATCACTTTCCCGGGGCTTCGCCACTTGGAGCCTGTGCCTCAATTGTCCGGGTCACATATGTACATTTGTTACATTGCAACACTCTGGTTTCGTTCCTGCACTACACCGCCCCCTCTCCTCTGATTTGTTTGCGCTGTCTCCGTTTGCAGTTGTCATCTTTGACCGTTAATTTCCCGCTCCCCTCATCAAGGTATCCAGTCTCAGTGCATCCCGGGGCATCTCATAAGAAAACACACTACGGACAACTTTCCCTTGAGGTGGGATCTGCGAATTGCATTGTAAGTTTTAACCCACGTTCACTGAGATGCATGTTGAATTCCCTCTTCTCACGCCGCTAACCGGGGCTGAAGCTTTTCACTATACTTCCTATGTTATTCGGTATGATCCATATGTTCTGTAATTGTCTTTCTCACACGGTTGTTACCATCACCATATTTCCAAATTTGTTTTCCTGTCCCTTCCCCTCAGTATCCATGGCGCTGCTCTCGCTGTCTCTCTCTTTCTCTCGCTTACTTTCTTCTCAGTCTTCTATGTGCTGCATTCACCTTTCCGGCACAAAACGATTCGTCTGGTCTGGTGTTTTGCTTTGCGCATCTTTGCGCTGCTGCAGGGAAAGACGGGAGACGCGTCAGGCCTTGAGGCCTTGCCCGAGAGTTTGAACTGCGAGCCCGGTTCCTGATACCATGGAATGTTCGAGGGTTCCACAATCTCGAAATCCCGGATGGCAGGTGCACATAAACAGTATTACAAACAACGCTTCTTGCATGGGTTCCCGGATCCCTCTGTTGAACCCCATTTTCCGAGAGGGCCGACTGTCAGAGTTCACGAGGTTGACGATCCAAGTCAGCACTACCCTCATGGAAAAGCATGGCTCCATGGGGTCCTGCTCTTCAAATTGCTCGCCCTAAGCCCCCCGCACGCCCGCAAGAGGCAACATACGTAGCAAAAAACAAGGATAGTAGCCACGGGGGCATACCGATTGGCTGCAGTTCGCAAGCTGCAGGCGGAGACACGACGGGTTGACTATATTGGCCTATGGTACCTGCAGGGGTCTGCACGGCTGCCAAAATGGCGTCGGATCTGTTCTCCTGTTGACATTTGTATACATCCGGACAACGATTACATTGCGTGGGACAGCGCAAGCTCTGACTTGAGCTCGTGGTTTCAAGTCAAACTGTTCTCACGGGTTCTTTCGCTCGCCAAGTCACCCTCCATACACTCCGTCCCCTCCGGTTCCTGCCGCTCTCATTCGCGCTGGTTTCCTTTTGACATCTTTCGAGCTCTGCCGCGTTCTGCCGCGTTTGCAAACTCCAGGCCGCAATGGAGGTGGCGGCTACTCTCGCCAAACGCCCAAGTTTGCTCGAACGGCCATCCACAAAGTTTCAGAACCTGTAACCACCACTTCCTTAAACAGTTGATGTCATCTGGTGACCCCGGTAAGAAAGAGCCGGAAATCAGACCCCAGGCGGACAGACCTCCGACGCTCTGGCGCCCAAAACAGTGGACCGACAAAAGACAACGCGCACAGGGCGAAACAGGAGCCAAAGAGGACAACCGAGAGACCTTGAACGCTATGGCCGGCGCGGGAATTCCACAACCTCGTCTTTCCCGGAAACACCTCGCCGCTCGGGAGCTGGAGGATGCAATCTCCTTGAAGTCAACCCATCCATCTCCAGCTTTGTCGGATCCGACTCGCCCTCCATCCAGCCAGTCGTGGCCCACTCGACTTCGATGCTGCTCGTGACTGTCGTCTGAGATTCGCATCAGGCGGCTTCTGTACTGCTCTGATTGACCTCACCCTCTGCAATTCCCTTGTTTCGCCTGCGCGGCTCAGTGGCTTGATGGCGCATGTCCTTCAGATTCTGGGGACGAAGGATTGAATTGGGTCAACTCGAGGTGAAGCTGTAGCTGGCTCAACATTCGCTGCGCATTTTCCACCAGCTCCTCGCGCGCTGTTTCTGATTAACCTCCCACCACCAGAGCGGGTCCCTTGGGGTTGGCCATGGCCTCCAGCTGTGAAGCTTGGTCTGCACAGCGCTTGCAAGTGCTCCTCAATGTCTTCCATGCGAATAGCAATGTTGTCGTTGATGCCAATTTGCTTCCGGCGGTGGGATTCCCTCTCCTTGCCGACCTGATTCAGTCAGCGGGCGAGGTGTTCCAGGATCTTGACAGAGTGCGAGGCATCTGCCGTGATCCATTCATTGTTCGATCGCCGTCATGCGTGTCGCCATACCTCCCATCTCCGCTTGGATAACCTACTGTCTGACCGGGGCCAGCATGGCGCTGTCTGGTTCCGACGAGGTAACAGTTGATGTGGGGCTTCGCTCCGGCCATGTAGGGTCCTTTCCGCGCTTGGTCCCCATATGTCCCCATAGTTGATGCCGTGTCCTGGCTCGCCATTTCTTCTGTTCTGAGTGACCGGGTGCTAGCCCCCGCTCGTATCCTGGAAGTTCCTGAGAAAGTTGTGGGTCAGGTGCAGGTTGTGTTGACCTGGTGGACCATTCTGGTCCGGTACGCGGCAAAGAACCGGGAGCCAATGCTGTAACCGCTTAGTGGCTCAAACTGATGGAAAGCACCGCCTGCACCTCCGAGCGCCGGTACAGCATTCAGGAAATCTCGAAGCTGTCTTCGAGGGTCCTTACTTTTCTTGATCTGGTACAGCTTACCACCAAGTATAAAGGGTGCACTGCCCCCCGCCCCAAATGGCCGTGGCCGAGCGCACCACCACGAAGGAGATGCGTCAAACGACTTGAGCCAAAATGGTTACGGTCAGTGAGTCAGTCTGGCATTTGAGTCTGAAGGTGCCAGCATGTGCCAGCTAGTTAAACAATGTTGAACAGATCATCCCACAAATTTTGGAAAGACTGGCACCCGGCTTGCAGCGCTATATAGGCTGAGACTGCTGAAAAAACAAGTGGTTGCATCTCACGCCTTAATTGGGACCGCGAGGCAAAATGGTCCATGGCCATCTTTTGCGCTGGCTGCGGCAGGTCCACATCAGTGACCGCATCCTGCCAAGACTTGACACCGCAGGTTCATCGACTTGGGGAACTGGCAGTGGAACTGGTTTGCTGAGGCCTTGTCAAGGAGGCGAAACTCGCGGAAATTCAGCACCCTCTGCCCCTTCAGTTGGACTTGCACGTAGCGGCCGACCTTGCCTTCGCAAGAGACCTGTCCGAGTCACACACGGTAATTCAGCGGATTGGAACTGCCTGTTGCCATGACAGACATTTTGCTAGTCGGGCTTGCAAATTTGACTGCCACCGTGGCTTCCAGCTTCGACAGACTTTCCACAAACAATCTTGCACCCAAAACTTGGGCAGCTCCCTCATCAAAGTGCATCTGATGCACGTAATACCAGTTGTCCTTGCCCTTAAGCTCCAATTTGCCGCATGGCTCGCCAGGACAGGCGTGGCCTCTCGGTTGAAGGCACCATGCAGGCTTTGCTGTGACTTATGTGCTTGGAGGTCTCATGGCACCGCACTTGAGGACTTGTGAGTTATGGTGAGTTTGCTTTTCCCTGGGCTGTGGAATTCCCTAACCCCAGCTTTACAGCCTGCAGTAATACTCAATGCAGTGAATACTTTATGGATGAATGGCATTCATCAAGGTCATCGGGGCTGACGCGTACACTCCTGTCTTGGGTAAAAGAAGCTCCTATGAAACCAGGAGATCATGTTGTCTTCGACCTGGCCTGCACAGGACACATCGCTGATGCTGACGACGGCACCGGTAGGCGTGCACCTGCCATGATGATCCAGACTTTGCGGACTTTGCGGAATGCTTGGTCTAGGCGGCATGATTGCCAAAACAAGGCAATCAGCTTCCAGTGCTGCCAAGGCACAGGTCTCCAACATCAACGCCATAGCGAGCTTCGCAACCTGCACCACAAGTTGTACTGTATCGTGACTACTTGGTGAGATGCCCCTGAACTACCAAGGGGCTCCTTGAGTCGCCCTGACGTGCGCAAAGTCACATCAACTTTGAGGCAACAATCACCGCGCTGGAGCAGCCGCGCAATACTGCGTGAAGTCCCATCAAGCAGATCATGCTTTATATCTTCCCCCAAGTACACGCACTTCACGCGAAAAATTTGGGAACATCTGTGAAACCAGCATTTGGGCCACTGGAGCTCACATGCAAGTAAAACTACGCTTCGTAATCAACGGACCAGTTTAATATGCCAGCGAAATAAGCCCTTCCCGCAATTTCATGAACACCGGCTGCCACTTTGCAGACCCCAAGGCGAACCAACACAAGCACTTGCCATGACATTCCAAGCTCTTTGCATATCCTTGAGGCAAACAGCTCGCTGGGAAAAACGCGTCACAACCTAGACCCAGAACCACGAACACCCCAAGCGCTAACGCAATTTGTTAGAATCTGCTAGAATCGCAAACTCAGCTCAAGCGGCCATCAGGATGACTGAGCAGCGCAACAATCTCCACAGCCTTCCGCGACATAATGCACTTTCTAGGATGTTCAGATGTGTGAGGAGTTTCCAGAACTCACATTCTCTCGAAGCACGTTGACGAACCCATTCGGATGGTGCAGATGGATCCATACTGGACGCAACCAGCAAGCTGCGCTTGAATTCACGAATCGCCTCCCGGATTCCAAGATCCACTTGCCACCACGGGTTCAGCTCGCCAGCACCTGAGAAGCTCTCCGCTCGAAGCACCTACCCAGCCCCCGACAAACATACACGATGTGGACAGAGAAGGAACAGAGGAAACCTGGAGCGGTCGAGAGCACACCTACACTGCCACGTTCCTTTTTTGGACCCCATTCCATGACTTCAAGCTACGTCTCTCTCAATCTCAACCACGACCTGGACCAAACGACAAAAGATGTCAATGGCACGAGGTCAACTCACAGTGCAAGACTAATCCATCATCCAAATGGCTTCGGCATGATCAAGACTTTTACTTCAGCTGGCCTCCGTTCCAGGCTGTACTACAGCGCGTGTCCTCATCGTCGTCCATGCAGAAATGTGGCGCTGCGTAATCAAATGTGGAACCTGAAGTCGGGTCGGTGAAGGCCAAAAGATATTCAAAGTAGCGAAGTCGGGGGGAGCATAGAATCGTTCAAGTGCGGAGATTGTGGGACCTTGAGGATCCCCTAAGTTCTGTGGAAACAGGGGCGACTTGACGGAGACCAGGACTTTTCACGGTGGCAAGAGCTGTTCAAGTCCTAGTCATTGCGATTACCACACCCGCAGATGGTAGGCACACTTTTCTTTCACACCGAGGGCTTCTAAACGAGAAAGCACATGGTTCAATCGGCAAAGTGGTAGACCTTGCTGAATCTGCTGAATGCAGTTGGTCCAAGAGACTGCTCCGAGGAATGCGAACACGTTGACCAAGGGCCACTTGCAGCGACGTGTAGTTGGCCGAGAAGCCTCCATCCGGCTGCGCCTTGCTTAAAAAGAAGCACAAAGTTTTCAGAAAACTCTTTGAACCGTTCCATTATGTTCCGTTCCCTTCAAAGTTGCCAAGTTATGGTTGCCAGTTCGGGTTTTGCTGAGATCTGGACCACCGTTGCCAGGTTTCCGTCAAGGACGTTGTATGCTTCCGTCCCATCCTCAGCGGTGTCGTCTGCCATTGCTTGACAGCAAATCCTGGAAAGTACGAGTCGTAGATGCTTGTGCCAGCCGATCAGCGCTTTCAGACGGTGGGATGCTTTTGAAGGACAGCAACTGAGTGCTGCGTGAAGCAAATTGAAGTGAAAGATGTCAGAAAGTCAACCCTGGAAAGTGGGCAATCAAAAAACCTTAGCGCAGGAATCTAAAATTGGTAGGCATTCTGAGCCCGCTACATCGAGGATGGTGGCTGGCCTCTCAAAACAAAATGCCAACAATGATCTGCAGCATTTTCGGGCTTCAAACGGGCAGACTCACCATCTGCGCTGCATGGTATCTGCGTCAGACACCAGAATCATCCACGACAGCCCTGAAGTGAGAAGGTGCGCGAGGCCTTGCTGCCCGCCCATGGACAAACCTCGTTGTGCAAATCAGTCATGTTCAGTGGCGAATCGTGCCCACTGGAGAGTGCACAGAATTTGGTCTCTGCACAACTGCCACCCACGATCAGTCGAAACAGTCCCAAGCTGAAATCTTGAAGACTCAATGACGCCCACTTTGCTTAGTTCACAGTGAGAGACCATGCTGCTCCACGCGATTTTGGTAAAAGCAGGGCCTGGCAAGAAGCAAGCAACAAGCAACAAGTGCTATCAGAATACGACGTGATCCTGCCACATGATTTGCATTTGGACTGCTCTTGTCGACACGAGTGCGCAACAGCAGCTGATCAGACGTACATTTCAAGCCATAGCTGGCAAGTACTTACACGCACTCACATGGCGCGCCTTTCCATTCTGCCTGAGCTCAATCTCTGCCAATTGCCACGCTGTTGCCTGTTTGGTTTCCACAACTTATGGCTAGCACTTGGCTTAAGCAATGTGGATTTTGCACGGCCCCTTCAAGACTGCTTGCCTTGTCATCGTTGGCCTGCAGCACCTGAAGCGCATAGTATCCTGGCAGGACAGCATGGGAGGATTTTAAAGCGGACTCCCATCCAGCGTGCCTTTCGAACGGAAGGCTTAGCTCGACACGACCATGAACTCAATCTTGCTGCATCCCAGGCTCTGTAGAAGCAGCGATCTTTCTTCACCATGGCTGTTGTTGACGTCGTGGTGGTCATCACCTCCACCTCCCGTGCTCTTGTAGTTTTGTCCCTTCTTTGGCTAACCCACGTACAGCACCCTCCCTCCCGCCACACCATGCCACACCCAAGACTCAGCTCAACTGGCACAGAAACCTCCGTAGTTGTGCTTGTTGTTGTTGCCGGACATTGGTAGCCTTCAGTGGCACGCATGCTGGACAGTCTGCAGGGCAGCATTGCTTGAAAATCACTTCACATGACTTCACCCTATCCAAACCTCATCCCAAAGTAAACCCATGAAAGGGTCGACAAACCTTCGGTTGAATGTGACCACCTCCACTTATGCCTTTCACGCAATGCATGCTGATCCTAGTCTTCGCATGGTAAGGAGCTACTCACGGGCGAAGTCATGATTCTAGCAGAGGAGGGAAAGAGGCCCTGCTATGGCCGTCAGCAAAGTAATGAATACGAACTTAGCTTCACCCCTGCTTTGTGTAATTCGGCCGATGAAGAGCTGAAGCTCTTTGGCGATTGCCACGTTCGGGGTGTCGTTGCTAAGAAACATGTGGAGACAGTAAGTTGCAGAGCCCGCCTTAGGATGATTTTTTGATCCATGTAGTTCTACTGATCGCCTTCCTGATCATGACCAGTAGTCGAAATAAGAAAGCCTTCAACTAGTTGCACCACGCGTTTCACTCGGCAGTCAGAACCGCGGCTTGCAGACCCCAAGCTCATGAACAAAACTACATTGTTGTGTTATCTTGTTGTTGATCGATTCCCATTCCGTAATGCCTGCCACATGCATGGGACCAGTGAGCCGCATTGACCCCCACTGGTTTTATTTTGCTCGTCGCCTCACCTGCAGTGGAGGAAATGTTGCAACTAACAGCGCTGTTGTAGCCTTCCGTACTCTCAGAGGCACATTCTAATCCTGCGTGTGCAAAAGTGTAAGAGAAAGGCCTCGCTTGCGGGGCACACCCCAAGGAGGATCACACATCCACCGAGCCGAAGGAAAGTGCGCCTGGCCCACGTGACCAGAAATGTTCAACTTTGGGCGCTGTCTGGGCATGCAGATCGCACTTTGATTTTGGAATGTCACATGCAGAAGCCGCCAATTGCATCCAATTTTCCAACCCCATCTTTAAGCAAGATAAGGACGACGGCCATAAGCACCTTGGACACCTCGCTCAACTTCACTGCTGTGGAAAGTGAACTCCTTAGGAGTTGCACTCATCCTTGCGGTATGGGCAGCACTCCCAATTGCAAGGGCCTCGGAATCACCTGCACATTGGACTCAGCACTGAGACCCTGGCATGTCGCTCGCTGTCTTTCCATCTGCTGAGCCCCAAAGCCTTCAATGGATGGTGGTTAGCTTCCCTCAAAGTTGTTGTTACTGCCGGACATCTAAACACCTGAAGTTTCGCGTCACCCAAGATGGAAGTGTGGTAGGCCAGTGCTGGGCCTCCAGGAAGCAGGGTCAAAGGAGCCGAAGGAGGCCTGGGCTGGGCTCGGAGGCTCGGATTGCACGTTCGAGTCAGCCCAGCACGCTCGCAGACTCTCAGGCATGTTTGGCCGAGCAACGTTGGCGCTGATAACCTGAAGGCACAAGTCAGCTGGTGGTTTGGGCTGGCAGTCATGGCAGCATCAGGGTTGGGCTTGCTCCGTTTTCCCCCATGTCAGCTGGGCTGCCGTATATTTGGTGATGGCCACCGGCTTGCCCAAGTCTAATCTCAATTTGACCATGGGGCTCCTGCAGAGCAGGTGCCCTAGGCTTTCCACCGTGGCATCCGCACATGTGGATCAACCTACGGATGCTAAGAGCTATGCTAAGCCTGCTAAGCTGTTGCCCGATCTATTACGAAATCTTCCTTGACTTTTGCATCGGTGTGCACGTTGCAGCCAAGCATCGGCGAACAGAGACCACTCAAGACAGATAAGTCAAAGGCATTGGAAGCGTTGCTGGCTTCGCAGCCGCGCGTTTCTGCATCATCCTGCTTACTTCTTGCAGAGGTTGATCCTACTTTTTGCATTGAGGTGTAACAGAGCGTACATTGCATTCGCTTCTCTGTCCGAGAGGTGAACTCTCAGCGCTAAACTCAGGATCTGCAGCTACAAGCGTCAGGAGAGGGCAGCATCAGGGCGGACGGGTTCCCCCGGGCCCCGACAAAAGAGTGAAGATGAGTGAAGTAGAGGGTGGCAGGACCGCGAGAAAGATGAAAAACCTCCTACTTTGGTGAAACACAAGCTGAAAGACAGGTGCAGGTTCGCCACTCTGACCCCATCGCCTGCTGGATAGAATGCGAACACCACTTATGCCTTTACACTCAGAAGACGCAGCTTCCTCGATAAGCTCTGCCCGTACGTTCGAGCTTGGGAACCTCAGTTCAATAGCAAGTTCTGATCTAAAGATTCCAGACAGCTCTGCAGAACAAAAAGCCACTGTATACAGCGGCCAGGACATTGACGTCGACAAATTGAAAGCAGAGAGCTTCTGGAGCCGCCCACGAGCATTGACATGGTACAGTCTCAGCTCGCCAATCTTCCACGCAGCCTACGAAAGGCGTGGGGGTGAGCTTGCAGGAAGCTGGAAAGTTGCGGGATTGTCTCATGTCGCCTCCTCTCCGGCAGTTGTAAGAACCTCCAGAACCTTGGAGGCTGACTCGGACTGCAAGATGCCCAAAGAGCTGCTACTTCTGGTCACTTGGGTCCCGGCATAGTATCGGAAGGGGCAGTCATTGAAATCCCTCGCTTCCTCTGCTTCAGAAGGGCAAGCTCCTTGCAAGTACCTCAAATTTGACAAAGGAATCATTGAAAGGCCGGCACATGTAGAAAGCATGAACCGTCACGGTGAGCGTTCCAACAGAAGCATTATGGCACAATCGTTATCAGTATCACTTGCTGTGGCCACGGCATCGGCGAGCCTGATGAATTATCATACAATGCTTTGTTGCTGACCTTCAGTCACATCTCTAGACTTCCTGGTCGATCACGGGTAGCCGCAGAAGCTTCCTAGCAAAATTGCAGGAAGCCCTAAGGCATTCCTTCTCACCCCTCAGCTCCGTGCGGTGGAGTCGTGTACGTTGTTGTGGTCGTTGTGGCGGCAGGTGGGAGAGGCTCGAACCTTACCAGCAGCGGGTAGCACTCAACCCGTACTACGAAGCTTGCTCGGACATGCGACAGCGATTGAAGAGCTGTACCAATTCTCTGTCTAGCTGCAAACCTTGTCTAGAAGGATGTACCTTCAAAGAACTGTTGTAAAATCCTCCACTTCCTGCACCTTGTCCGGTTTCCGTCTAGGGGCGAGCAAAAATCTGATCCACTCGACAGCCGCAGCCTGTGAAGGATGTGGCTGACGCCCTATCCGTCACTATAGTGGCGCAGCTATGTGCGCAGTTCTCCGCCAAGCTAGCACTCGGTGCCACAAGTGCTTCAGCGCATTACAAACATACTGCACGCCGCAGGAAAGCCGTTTGAGTACACCCTACAGTAAACTGCTGCAGTAGTCGGCATCAAGTCTGTCTCTCTAGTTGAGACTATCTCAAGCCGCGCCTAGTCAGCTTGAGGTCGCCTGGATGTGATGGCCGGAAGGTGACCTCAACCAGCTCAACAAAATTGGCGCGGCTAGCTTCAATTCCAAATCCTTGCCGCCTTTCATCGTAGATTGAAGTCCAGCTAAACGTCTAGCGTGGCAAAGCTTTGAAAGGAAAGCAGCCAACTAAACAAACAGTTGGCAGCCCATGTTGTGGCTATGAGCAAATCATGTCAGCGAGCACCTCCCTCTGGAGGGCCAAGTTTACGACTCTTTGGCTGTCCAGGGACTACCACGTAAGCTTAAGGGGACTTAAGAGGACTACCACAGCCATGAGCCCCGCGCAGCGGCCGATTTTTTTTTACTATCAAGGGATCAGCCAAAGGGAGAACTTGCTTAGAGTGATCCCAACCCCCCCTTGCCAGGCGCAGTCCACCAGATAGTGGCCGCTAGTAAGGGTACCTAGTAAGTAGTAACTCAGTAGTATTCCCTTCTTTCGAGGAACGCCTGACATCAGACAGCAACCGATTTCCTTCTTCTACGGCCACAAACACACGGCGTATTCAATGGTGCCGAGTGGCGAAATGCTTGCCCTCCTGCAACCTTGGTGGGTGGAACAGCTCTGGTCAGGCTGGTACATATGTCTGTCTCCCTTCGCCTGCAAAAGCATGAAAGGCCCAGCAGCTTGCACGGCTCAGACTCCATTGTCCAACGCGGATCGTCTTGGTAGGCACAATTCTCATCCTGCAATGGAACATTGAGCACTCAAATGCCTCAAACACAAGCTGAGTCTGTCCTCGGCACAGTTCGTGCCCCAGCCAGAGTGCAAAAACCACCTTGCAAAGCAACACGTTGCGTAAGATCCTCCTGTTTGCACGAGACTCGACTAAGCCGTGAAACCCTCAGAAAGACTTTTGGCTTCACTGGTTCCAAAGCTTTGGCTCGTCTTCCTGGCTGTCCTTGCGTGCCGGTTGCGTTGACTCCTCGTGCAAAGAATTTAGCGTCCTCGCTCCACACCTCTTGAACACGAAGACACCCCGATGCCAATCGCGTTTTGAAAGCTTTTCCAACATCTCAAAACTACCTCATCCATCTTCACCCAAAACATTAGGTGAAGAGCATGGTGTGTGTCTTGCATGCCTCCAGGCTCTACCAGTCTACCGTTGCGCGTAGCTTCTTGATATAATCACTTTTGATGCGGTAGATACATTGTTTTTTTCTGACTTCACATCTTGTAGCATCGCTGCTATTTGAAACCTCTCTTATGAGGGAAGCCGACGTCTGTGTGCTAGAGGGTGAACTGTTCGGCACTAAGGCCTATTCATAGAAATGCCGGAAATTCATACGAAGGACGCGAAGCTAGGTTGGGGCACCCTGCGACAATCCTGCGGGTAGCACTGCTGCCGTTTGTTGAAACATTTGGGCCAAGTGCAAGTTGCACCTCCACGAAGGGCAGCTTCCCATGGAGAGGTAAAAGACATCTGAGCCACCTGGACATGCAGGTTGCATGAAAAGTTGAAAAGCGCGTGGATCAAAGCTAGGGGATGCTGGCCTTTCGCAAAGGGCTGAGTGGCATGACAAAGCATTGACCCTGTCTAACTTGCGGAACGGCGTAGGCCCAAAGCAGTTGCCTCCATCGATTCAGTGCAATCATGGCCCTGAATATCTCAGGGCTTGGCTATACGGTGCGATGACTTGTGCCTGGAGCTGCACCTAATTCGGACGGCTTTGGCTTCAAATCGTCTTCCAAAAGAAGCTCCCAACTCAGTTTTTCAGCCGGAAGCACATTTCCAGAGGACTGGCAGTGCAGATGGAAGCTGACGCCATGCAGCGTAGCACGTCCCAGCTCCAGCGGAGGCTGACAAGAGATTTCCAGAATACACTACACAGGTACAGCGTCTGCCAAATCATGCTTGCCGCAACCCTGACAAGGTACCCTGTATATGTACACTACATCCACCCCTAAGAAGTCAGTTCCCACAGAGCCTCGTTTGCCAGTGATGAACACAAGTCTTCTTTGCCACATGGTACGCAAGTGTGCGGAAAACGCCGTCCGCACTGACAGTTGAAGACTCCTGCCCCAACATCCCATCTCGCAGCTTGTGAAAGTTTGTGGCTTTTCAATAAAATATTCCAGCTAGACCACCTTAAGCAATGCTGCCAGAAGAGACAGCACCACTCCTACACGCTGCGTCAGCCTCTATCTGCACAGGTCACAGGCCAAAGCACCAATCGCCAGCAAAACCCCATTGACTGTGACAGCTGCGTTGACACTGGCACCCAACAAGTCCGCCGAGGCCGGAGGCTTGGGGCGTTTAGATCCAGACTAGGAGAGTAAGTTAACCCTCCCCCTACCCCCTCCCAGCAGGTTGCGCAGGGCGCCGGGGGGACGCCAATTGCAAAACTTGCGTGGTATGAGCATACAGGATATGAAAACGGCTGAGACAGCTGCAGCATGTGCTGTCCGTTCTCCACGAGTGCTGCTACCTTGCTCTCTCGCCTCGACCACACTTGCTGAGGCGGTCTGCGTTAGCGATTAAAATGTCTAAGCTCCAATGAAAATTGGGTCCTTTGTCTGGAGGCATGCAGACAGCGCACAGAGTCTTGGACTTGTCCTGGGTTGGCGCACAGGGATTGTCTCTCCTCTTGCCATATGTGTGAAGTTGGCGGGGGTCTGGAAGCTACCAGGTGGACTAGAAGATTGGGGTTGCATCTCTAGCATTTTGCAACAGGTATCAACAAATCTCCATTCAACTCGACCAGGTACTGTTCCATTGGTACGTACTGCAGCGAGGCTGCGTACTGGCAAGCACCACCAACGCGGTGCTGTGTGTAACGCGAACAGCCCTTGCAAGGCACGGCCTGCAGAAACATTGAAACTGCCAGTCTCTCCAGCGTGTTGAGCCATCAAAATATACGGTAGAATTGGGGGCCTATAAGAGTGAAAGTTGTATGGCGTCACAAGGATATACGGATTAATTAAGGGTACAAGCTTGCCGCCTTGGAAGGTGGCCGCTGTGCCGCTGCACTACTGAGCCTAAGACCCCAAACCCGACCACAAATCGTCTGGGGCAGTTATAGTATCGCCGTGCAGCCTCGCTCCAGTTGCCCGTCTGCGCCGCCACTTCCGATTGTTCCTGATGAAGAATTAGCCAAAATCCCAACCAGATTGAACAAGAGATCTGCGGGTTACAAACTGAAATCCCCCCTTGCTTGCTGTGATGCAAGCAGGCACACAAACAGGAGGATGAGCGGAAAGAAAAATGGCCATGCATCAGATTGAGCACTTGTACAGTCACGCACTCAACCTCAATGTATCCCAATCTCTCGTCCGTTGTACACGGCATGCACGAGCAACGTCTTACGTGGGCGCTGCATCCACGAACACCCCAAAACATCTCCATTTTCTGAGGCAGTAAGCCGTTTGGGGAGGTCGGGAGGGGAAGGTGTGGCCACAATGTTGAAGTTGCGGATTGCATGACGCTTGCCTGGACAACCACGTATTCCTGAATTTCCACATGCTCCTGGAACACAGTCCGCGAGATGACAATTCACCTGTGAGGTCAATACACTTGTTCTGAAACACCTTTTCGCCCGAGAAATGCCGAAATGCCGAAATGCCAGCAACGGCAACGAGACTTCCGCTCCACAAAAGTGAAAAATTGGGAATGTGATGAAGCTCAATTGCTCTGAAAACCTTTGCTCTGAAGCGGTCGCTTCCACCTGTGGATGCTTGCCCTGCACCGCTGGCATCTCAGCCAACGTATCAAGCACAACTTGTTGAGGTGTGTTTGTTTGAGCCTGTTCCTGTTGGGAGGGGCCTCAACGCAAGCAATGGGTCTCCAGCCATGAAAGCTTCTCATCGAAACGCTGCCATGCTCATGCCACGCAACCCACATGCAATGATTGCTCCAAAGTATGGCTTCCGGAAAAATGTTTGCTCTAATCTGCCAGCTCAGGGGCCTGGCGTTTCCACAGGGGCCTGACCTGTTTGCAAGTACGTCCGGAAAGCGTCCCTTCCAGATATCCTCACGAATTTCTGCCAGCTTCGTTGGGCCAGCAGCAAGACATGGTGGCTGTGCCCACCGCACTGTTTTCTGCATGTACTGTGTATGTGTTCAACCATGTAAAACCAATTTCATGGTAGAGCACCTTGGGAGTGACCCCCTGCGTCCGTGTTTTAGGACGGTTCCCACACACGCAGCCCCAGCTGGGACGCTGCAACATTGTCACAAAAATGGCATCTGCACAGCTGCAGGCATTCTTTAGTGCTTTTGCGGTGACCACTCTGTTGTGGGCAGTTGATGTGGAAAATTGTTGATGGAAAGGTGTGATAACGTTGGTGCTCAATCGGATTCCTCAGCGGGGCTGAGAAGTTCTGGATCCACGATGTCGAACTGTTGCTCGAAGATTTGCTTTACGTCGGGCCAGCTGACGCCCAAGGCGTCCTTGAGGCAGAATTGCCATTCGCCCCAGAAGCGGGACTCAACTGAGCAAATAATATGCTCCCACATCTGTCCGGCGAGGAGGATGTGACTTTTCCTAGTAAAACTGAGTAGGACTCCCCGTTGGAATAAACAGGACTTGTAGATTGTAGCTGATACTCCATGAATGAAACCACCCAATGGCGAGCTTCTATCGTAGGCGGGAGGCTTTTGTCGTTGTTGCGGCTCTGGTGTCTCATGGCCTGGTCCAACCATGTAGTGAATGTTAGCACTATCCAAATTGAGCGGGACGTTGGCTGCAAACCGAAAACTGCTGAAGCAATGCGGGTTTACAGCAATCAACTACACATCAAAGTTGGCTGCTGCGATGCACGAGCACTGCTAGGCACAAACACGTCGGCAACACATCAGCGGCATCCTTGTATGCCTCATTCACTGTATGCTGGTCATGTCCAGCTTGTACGTATCTGCGCTTAAACGCAGATTCCGCGTCTTTCACTGCAGCCATGGGAGTGCACATGGTGCGTGCCAGCCGGAGTCGTGCCATGAGGCCGCTGTGGAGAATTGTGCTTGTTGTGGCTGCTTGTGGGGATGGGATGTCGTTAAGCTGTGGCCTTCTTGTGTATCGGACAGCAAAATGCTGTGGGCCAAGCTCAAAGCCTGAATCCTGGTTCATGCTCCAGTTCCACTGGAGGCACGAAGAAAATTGGGTGCGTGAATTGCTGAAATGGAGGTAATTGGAGGAAACGTGTGGGTATGACCAGCAAGCGATTGTCGACATATCGTGCGCAGAAGTAGTCGGCGCGGCTGCTGCTGCTTGCATCCTGCTGGCTTTTGTGGCTGTGGATGAGCTGCCTGTAGGTACTTGTCCAACCCTGCTCATGCACTGCAATCACCATGGAGCACAGTGCAGGAGATGCCGGAGAGCCCATGGGGGCGCCTCTCTTCTGCTTGATGACATTTTTGCCAACCCTGAAGTAATTCAGAGCCAAAATTGCTGTGATCATGCTGGGAAAGTGGTGAAGGTGCAGGAACCGCCTTCTTGGCTGAGCAGCGGTGGCGCGCGAGGCCTGCTTGTGTCTGCCCCGACGCCCTCTGACTTCCGGCAAAAATTCTGTGTGAACTATGGTGAAAGTGGTGGCATGTTGCGGCACGTTTGCCATTGCGTTTGCAATAGCAGCTCGTACGAGTCCAGAAACCTGTCTGGGCTGATGGATGCGAAGAACCCTGCCAAATCTTGATTGACGCATGTGTGCTCGTCTCCATGCGACGTCTGATCTGCGCCTGCTATGGCCAGGCGCAAGAAGTGTTGTTTTACCTGGCGCAACTGCTCTAGACCGTTTCCGTGTCCCCGGGTTTCACGCTTCAGGGCAAGCTTGTTTGATCATTAACTGTAAGGTGTCGGCAGATGCCTCCCATAATGTTCTGCCCATGGCACCGACGAAGGAGACAATGGGTCTGGCCGACTGGAACTGCTTCAATTTTTTCTTTTTGGTAGCACCTACGCGTTGGGCAATCTTCCCCAGTTGAGGAATGCCCTTCTGTGATCTGGCGGAAAGAGTCGCAGCAATCATCTCTGCGTGGCTTCGTGCAAACTCAAAGGTGGCGCTGGTGATACTTCAAACACCTCAGGGCTGGTGAAGGTGTTGGTGATGCACTGACGGTATAAGGGGGGACAGAACCATATGAGTCCGTCTGGGCGGTGGTCCTTGATTAGTGGTTAACGCCTGGTGGGATCTGCTGTTGCAACGCCTTAATCATGTGGATGTTAAGAGGCGCGGCGGCATCCTGATGTTGTTGCATCTGTGCTTGTGCAAATTGCGCGATACCTGGATCGGCGCGGTTGGGTATTGGCAGGCAGCGCTTCCTGCGCCATCGCTGTATGGCCCGTTTGAGTTGCTGCACGACGGCTTTGTTGCCAGGCAACACCTGGATGTGCCTGAAAAACTCAGACACTTGTGATGTGCTGCCATCTGGCTGAGCGCAAACACCACATGCCCATGGAAGACACGCTCTGGAAATTGTGTAGCCAAACTGCTGTAGCTGCACTGTGGTGCTCAGTGGGGGTGACAAGTGGCCTGCCGCAAGAGCGTTATCATGTGTTTGCATCCAGCAGGCTCTCAGGCGTAGTGTGAACCAGTTTTTTAGATAAGCAACACGCAGTCGCGCGCAGGACCGTACACGCGACCCATCGGACAGATGGGATTCGCTGTCAATGCGTCGGTGTCACAGCAAGGGTCGGTGTATCTTGGAGGTGTTGGACAGATAAGAAGCCGCAGAATAAACACAGATGCTGCAGCAACTGCTTTCGCCTGAGAACACAGCCCGTCCATGGACAGGATAGCAACGGTAAAAGCACTGGCTGAAGACATCTGTGATAAGTGATATGGAGGGATTGATCAACGACGCAGTG